GGGGAAAGAGCTTCAGAACAGCAGCTGCAAAAGCCTCTGACAGCTGCTCAGCTCCCTGCAGTCCTTAAAACCAGTCACAAAAACATCACAACGCTTAAATTTACCACTTTGTAGGTGCAGAAAACCCACGTGTCTCCATTTGGCAGTATCCTCACTGCCCAGGGACAGGCAGGTCTGACCCCCTTGCTCCAAGCCCTTCAGATCCCTGGCCTTGCTGCCACCAAGGTGCTGGGCTTTGGTTACCAGCCACCTCTGGGCAGGGAAACACGGGCTGCTCCACTGGGGAGAGGGACTGACACCTGCCAAACCCTGCTTTCCCAGATTTCCCAGACCAATCACCAAGCTACAGGGAGCACTCTGATGGAGAATTAAACCAGGGCACCGACAGCCCTTACACTAACCACAGGGGCAGAAAAAAGCTGCTTACTGTACCTTTTTTTTTTTTTTCAGATTTCAATAATTTTAAAAATAATCTGTCCAGCAAGAAAGAACTGCATTAGAAAAACATCCCCTATGAATCACCCTGATAAGATTATCTTAGAAGCAGAGAGGTAGGTTTTAAATTTGATCCTGGATTGATGTCAGTAACAGAAGAACTAAAATAATACTGTTTCTTTCGCAGAAATGAGGTTGGAAAAAGTAAATGCAATAAAAATCATAACACTATATTGCCTGAGGCTTAGCTCTTAGTCATGTGGGGCCAGTGAAGCTTTCTGTAGTGTTTAGCCAGAGATACTGAAGTAAAAATACACCCAAACAACAGCTTCTAGCTCCTGCAACCCAAGAGCAAACCTGCAATTTAAGTTTGGTTGGTTTTGTTTTGTTGTTGTTTTTGTTCCTCAAGCCTGGGGAAGATCACAGCAGTGTTTTGCCTCTATAATTAACGATAGCCCGGGTGTTCACCCGCCCCACTGGCATCAGCAGCTGGCAGGCAAACCTTCCTGCCCACCAAACCTGGGCTTTTCCAGGTCTGCCCAAGAGCCCTCGGGACTCCCAGATGGCTCCAAAGGCTCGGGAGCACGGCTGGGCTTGCCCTGGAAGGATCTGGTCAGACAGGCCTGAAAGAAAATCGTACACATGCACCTGTACGGACAGGCTGCCTGAAGAGTAGAGGGGGGTGAAATGAAAGAGAAATTAAAAAATTCAGTTTTAAAATGACTCGGCCCTGGCTCCGCGTCGGTGCCCAAGGCCGCTGC